TTTTAAGCCTAGTTTATGATGTTGTACCATTTTATGATCAATTTTGCCACATCCTTAACTCTCACATTCTGTATTTTTTTTTATTTTATGTACATTTTTTAATATATTTCCTATCAGTAAACTACTTTACCACTTTTTTCTGGAAACAAAAAATTGTATCAACTTCGAGACACATGAATGTCCTCAAAACGTTCTCATTAAGAACCGCAAGTTGACCAGAGAAACTGCGCAGCTGTCAAGGAGATGTTTGAGAATTCGATTTCACCAGTGGGAAAACTAATCCCTCAACAACTGGTTCGTTCGTCCCGACGGCAAAATGGTACTTGCGTGTGCCAGGAAATCAACTTTGCCAGCTTGCTTTTATGCAACTTTCGAAAGAAAAAATTTTGCCATTAGGTGTTGTTGTTGACATTTGCTACCACTCGGACTAATTACAAAAGCCGTCACCTTCAAAAGATAGCGATTTCGGAGGAGGATTTCAACTTTTGACACTGTCAAAGTTCAGTGATACGGAAGCAACATTTATGGCCCTATAAAGTTAATACAAACAGGATTACAACCAAAATCATTGGCAGCGCGCACCGGGCGGGCCGGTGCGATCATGCGCTTTTGCAGTACTTCGTGTTGTTGTAAGATCGCTTAGAGTCCCAATAGCTAGGATTTATGGCATACTGGCCCTCGAAATTCAGGAAATTAACTGTGCAGCTACATGATACTTGATCAGGGAACACTCCTGTCCCCCTCCCCTCAAATTTCAGCTTCCTCCCTTTTCTGGTCCTCTAGTTAGCAATTCTCTCGCCCGAAATTTCCGCGGGGCCGTATGTGAGAGTTACACATACCTCGAAGCCGCATTTGATAACTTTAAGTTGTACATGGGCTGGAAAAATCCTCTTATAATTTCAGCCTTCCAGTTTTCCTGGTTCCCGAATTAGCAGTTTTCTCGCCAAAACTTTTACGCGCTCGTCACGAGGCCTAAACGCGTGCAAGGAATGGTATCGCGATTCTGGGGTGGCACTTGGCCGAGGAACCCATTGGAAAAATTTTGGCGACGGAGCTTGCTTGGTTGCCGAATTGAAATACTCAAACAGACGCAGACACACACATACATACACACACGCAAATAAACATACACACCAGGGTGCGCCCAGTGGCTGTTAAAAATCACTGGCGACGCGCACTGGGGGGCCCCGTGTGATCATGCGTTTTTGTAGTGTTTCGTGCTGTAATAAGATTACTCGAAATTTCGTTAGCTAAAAACCTCTCATACATACTGTTCCTCGAATTTCAGTAACTTAATTATCCACGCTATATTTGGACAGGGAACATTCTCTTGAAATCCCAGGTTCCCAGCTTTCTTAGTTCCCGAGTCACCCAAATTGCAGCCAAAAAATTTCACGGGGCCGTGCGTAGCCATCACGCATAACGGGGGGCTGAATTTGATAAATTCAAGTTGTAGATGAGTTGGGAACATTTCCTGAAAATCTCAGTCTCCCAGCTTCCCTGGTCCTGGAGTTATTCATTTCCCCGCCAGAAAATTTCACGGGGCCGTACGTAGCAAGCACGCATGGCGGGGAGGGGGGCTGAATTTGATAAACTGAAGTTGTAGATGAGTTGGGAAAATTTCCTGAAAATTTCAGCCTCC